TCCAGCCCTCACCTGGAGATTGGCAACCATGGTTCCCCATGATGGAATGGCTGGTTTGGAGGAACCTGGGGAACTCCTACAAGATAATGACTCAACCCTAACCTTTTGGGGGTGGGGACTAGGAAAGGGGGCAGGGCTGCCTGGTCCCCTAGGGGGGCGGTGGTTTGCCCGCTCAATGGGCCCCTGACCCACCAGCCCGGATCTGGCCAGCGAGGGGAACCCCGCCCTCAAAGCGCCCAGATCGGGCCGACGTGGCCGGCATGATGGGCACGTCACCAGGGGGACACTCTGGCCTATGGTATCATAGAGTTTTCAAGCCGAATGCTAGAGTGTCCACTGGCGACATGCCTAGCATGACAACCTACTTCTGGGTGATGTCATCACGTGCGCGCGAATGTCCCAGACTAGGAGATTCTCCACCTCTCGTTGCAATAGGTAAGAGACTGGGAAATCCTAAAAAGGGGGGAGGTTGGGACATAACGCCATAGAGTCCATCTTCCCAAGCAGCCATTTTCTCCAAGGGAACTGATCATTTTTACCTGGAGACCAGCTGTATTCCCGGGAGATCTCCAGCCACCACCTGGAGACTGGCAACCCTAGCTCCACTATGCAATATAAATGGCTCACCCACTCTGCAAACTGGAAGGGAGGAGGAGGAGAAGGAGGAGGAGGAGGAAGAAGAAGAAGAAGAAGAAGAAGAAGAAGAAGAAGAAGAAGAAGAAGAAGAAAAAGAAGAGGAGGAGGAGGAGGAGGAGGAGATTGGATTTATACCCCACCCTTCACTCGGAGACTCAGAGCGGCTTACAAACTCCCTTTCCCTTCCCCTCCCCACAACAGGCACCCTGTGAGGCGGGTGGGGCTGAGAGAGCTCTGACAGAAACTGCTCTTTTTTTCAAGAACAGCTCTTATCAGAGCTACGGCTTGCCCAAAGTCATCCAGCCAGGTGCAAGTGGAGGAGTGGGGGAATCAAACCCGGTTCTCCCAGATTAGGGTCCGCGCACTTAACCACGACACCAGACTGGCAAAAGCCATGCCCCACAAATATCCATGCCAGAAACCTTATTTTTGACCATGACCTAGGTGGTACTGGGCTAGCAGAAAGGGGGATTGTTGGAGGTGTATTAAAGGTGCCCTTCTAAGCTTTCTTGCCCTGTGGAACTCAAAAGGCATTTAAGTGCCCTCTGAGCATTCTCCCCCACCCCGGAACTGATTTACTTGTTTCCCTGTCCCTTGAAAGGAAGGGCAAGAAGCAGGTTCGGAGCCTCCCCCTTTAAAGACAGGCATTCAGATTAATTCAATTAACTGTGATTTAATTTAAGACACCCTGTGAGGGAGGTGGGGCTGAGAGCTCTGACAGAAATGCCCGTTTAAGGACAGCTCTTGTCAGAACTGTGGCTTGCTCAAGGTCATCCAGCAGCCGCAAGTGGTGGAGTGGGGAATCAAACCCGGTTCTCCCAGATTAGAGTCCACACAGAGTTGACTGCTGTATCAGCAGGACTGCCCTTTCCCTTCGTAGGCTTTCGCTGATTTGTTTTGGACTTCCTTGCCTGGAAATCTTTGTTTTCGCAGCCGGGACGTTTCCTTAAAAGGAATTGCAACATCTGTGTACCATGAGGCTAGGCAAAAGGTCCGTGTGGCATATGACTGTGAGATCACAATGACGTTAAAAAAAAAAAGGTTGCAGAAGGAATACTCAATGGCTTGCTGATGCAACTTCCCCTAACGGCAGTGGGAACCGGCTTTTGCCAGAGCTCCGGGGCTCTCAGATGGGTCAGTCCCCCCATGTCTGGTTTGGCAAGAACCATGGTAGACTTGGAAATGGGGCAAAGAGGTGGTTAAGCCACTAAAACAATGCTGGATTAAGTAGCCCCCCTGATATGACCCCAAAAATATGGTCAGAGAGAACTAGAAGGCCAAGTAGAATGATAAAAGAGTGGGAACGCTTTCCGTATGAATAAAGGTTAAAGGGCTTGGGGGCTCTTTTGTTTGGAGAAATGACGGCTGAGGGGTGACGTGATCGAGGTTTACAAGATTCTGCGTGGGATCGAGCAGGTCGAGAAAGAAGTCCTTTTCTCCCTTTCTCACAAGACGAGAACTCGTGGGCATTCCACGAAATTGCTGAGCAGTCGGGTTAGAACGGATAAAAGGAAGTCCTTCTTCACCCAAAGAGCGATTAACATGTGGAATTCACTGCCACAGGAGGTGGCGGCGGCTACAAGCATGGACAGCGTCAAGAGGGAATTGGATCAACAAATGGAGCAGAGGTCCATCAGTGGCTATCAGCGAGAGGGTATAGATAGGAACTCTTGGTCTGGGGCAAGCGATGCTCTGTGTTCTTGGTGCTGGGGGGGGGCAACAGTGGGAGGGCTTCTAATGTCCTGGCCCCACTGCTGGACCTTGTAATACAAGTTATTACAACACTTGGCACCTGGTATTGAGAACTTGTGACTGACCCATGGTCACACCAGCAGCTGCATGTGGAGGAGTGGGGAATCAAACCCGGTTCTCCCAGATTAGAGTCTGCCGCTCTTAACCTCTACACCAAACTGGCTCTTTCTGAAGCCAGCTCGCCCAGATTCTAACCTGGTACTCTGACCGCTACACCACAAGGGGGCTGTCTTCCTTTTCTGGAGTTTCGGCTACCCTTGCAGAAGAAGCCGGCGTCCTGGAGAATCCTGCAGTCGCCTCGGCCATCCACCGGCGTGACCGCGCGAGCTCGGGAGACGATTGTGATTCTACACTAATCTCTCAATCGATCTGCACTGTAAGGTCATCGCAAAGGCGATGGGCAGGGCGGAGGGCAGGAACACAAAGAGATGCCCGCTGGGATAAGGTCACGTCCTATCAGTCACGCTGCACGGCAAAGCCTTGGCATGCAATCCATCACTGCCGTCCTTCCAGACCCATCAATATCAGACGGCGAGGCTGGATCCGAGGCAGGTGCTGAGACATTGTTCCAGCCAGGGCCTGAAGTATTCCCCCAAGGAATACTCGCCTCTCTGGATGAGGCTATAGGTAGGTTTTCCCCAATGTGGAAAATAACAGCTCTCTGGGGCCGATCAGGTCAGAAAAGGTGTATCGGGTGGGGAGTCTTAAACCCTCCCCTCACATACCATGGAGGATAAGGCTAACAGCTATTAGCCATGGTGACTGAGGGGAACCTCCGTATTCAGAGGCACTAAGCTGCTGAATCCCAGAGCCAGGAGGCAACATCAGGGGAAGGCCTCGGCCTCTATGCCCCGTTGTTGGATGTTGAGGGGAACTGGTTGGCCATTGTGTGAGACAGGATGCTGGACTAGATGGACCCTCCCTGGTCTGATCCAGCAGGGCTCCTCTGATGTTCTTATCAGGGGAAGGTCTTGGCCTCTGTGCCCTGTGGTTGGCTTCCAGAGGAACTGGCTGGCCCCTGTGAGAGACGGGATGCTGGACTAGATGGACCCCTGGTCTGATCCAGCAGGGCTCTTCTGAGGTTCTTATCTGCATCAGGCTCATGCACACCTGAAAATTACTTTCTGAGCACAGAATCTTGAAAACACATCTGTCAACAGGTGATAACTTTATAACGTATGAATTGGCCCCAGCCCTGGATTAACCAGTAAGCAAAGCTAGTTTAGGGCAACAAGAGAGTGCCACAGAATCCCCTCCTCCTAGTCATCATGCCCTATAAGTAAATAATTTGCTTATATTGCTTACTGCTCTTTAGTGTTATTTGAATACAGTTGTGGGGTCTGGCCTGGGAGGGATGGCCTGGAAGGAAACTGATTTTTTAAAATCTCTTTTTTCGCCATCAGCACGTATTGAGTCTTAATGTCTATAGTCAGTAGAGCAATGGAAGGGCTGAGGGGCACCATTGGTTGGGCTGTGCTCAGGGCATCCGTTGCCCTTAATCCGGCCCCGATCGGCCCCCGTGAGAAAGAGGGACCCTGTGAGCTTCACGGCAGAACAGGAATTTGAACCCGGGTCTCCCTCCTCCCAGTCTAATACTCTTACTGCTACACCACACATGTGGACATGCGCCTTTCATGTGGGTTGCCAACATGGCTGTTCTGTACCTGTTCAGCCAGTTTCGTGTAGACGTTAGGGGCGCGGACTCTGATCTGGGAGAACCGGGTTTGATTCCCCCACTCCTCCACATGCAGCTGCTGACGTGACCTTGGGTCAGTCACAGGTTCTCTCAGAGCTGTTCTCTCAGAGCTCTCTCAGTCCCACCTACCTCACAGGGTGTCTGTTGTGGGGAGGAGAAGGGAAAGGAGATTGTAAGCTGCTCAGAGACGCCGAGTGACAGGAGGGGTATAAATTCCACTCTTCTTCTTCTTCTTGGGTCAGTCAGAGTTCCCTCAGAGCTGTTCTCTCAAGAGCAGTCCTCAAAAGAGCTCTCTCAGCCCCACCTACCTCACAGGGTGTCTGTTGTGAGGAGAGGAAGGGAAGGAGATTGTAAGCCACTCCACGACTCCGAGTGACAGGAGTGGTATAAATTCAACTCTCTTCTTCTTCTTCTTCTTCTTCTTCTTCTTCTTCTTCTTCTTCTTCTTCTTCTTCTTCTTCTTCTTCTTCTTCTTCTTCTGCTTCTACTTCTACTTCTGCTTCTCCTCCTCCTCCTCCTCCTCCTCCTCCTCCTCCTCCTCCTCCTCCTTCTCTGAGTGCATGCCCCAATATCCTCCTCCCCGGAGCCTTCTGCCATACACGGGGTGTTCCTCAGGAGAACAATCAATTCAGAAAGGCTTCCCTGAAGTTAGAACATTTTAAGAAATCCCCCAAAACCTTCTGTGTCACACAGCAGCCTGCCAGTGGGTATGTGCTATGGAACACACACAGACACGTTTGTACATTGTCTTGCCATTAGAGAGCTCCAGAGGTCAATCTTTCACAGGGAGGCCAAATGAAGTAATCCAGCCCTTCTAGGCAGGCTTTTTGAGTTATGAAACGGATAAGGGGTGGGGACTTCGCCTCTCTCTTATATAAAGCTCAATCCGAACTGGAGTAGAGTGAATCAGAAGAGATTGTGAAACTGCTGCTACTTTTAGCTCCGAACACAGGAAGGTGCAACTAAGCCAGAGAAAGTCCAGCCGACCCGGAGTCAACATGGATCTCCTGCCTGCGTTTTCCCCTGAGACGTGGTTACTTCTCACAGTCCTCCTGGGCCTTGTAATGCTGTATGTATGGTTTTGCTGTTTCCTCCCCCTGTCATTCCAGTCTTTTATAATCTGTGAAGGGAGGGGCGGGGAGTAGTCAGGGCCGGCTCGCTCACTAGGCGAACTAGGCGTTCGCCTAGAGCAGGCCGGCCCTTAGGGGCGCCAAATTGCAACTGCCACCCCCCGCCAAAAGTAAGAGCATGGGTGCCAGGGGAACGGGAGGCCCGGGGTACAGATCCAATTAACGGGTCCAAGCCATGGTGGGCGCACGGGGGGGGCGCCAGAAGGGATCCTCGCCTAGGGTGCAAAATAAGCTGGGGCCGGCCCTGAAAGTAGTAATTCTGCTGGTTCCCTGAAGAGTTGTAGGCGCTTCTGCACGGCCAGGTGTGCCTAGACCGAGAGACTCCAAAGGATTTACCTTTATGCTGAGAGAGGATTTCCTGAATCGCAATTCAGATTTCTAATTTTTTTTTTAAAAAATGGTCATACTTTTCCTCTTGTAGCATCGATGTGACCAACGGGATGTCAACTGGGGCAGCTCCCTGCCCTGAATCTAGAAAAAGAGCTAGGGGGACTCATTAGCATAACTCATTAGCATATGCCACACCCCCTGACATCACTGGAAGTGTGTCACAAGGCCACACACCCTGCCCCCAACGGTCCCGGCCGCCACCGCCAGCCTTGCAGCTCCAGTGCCGAGCCCCATGAGGAGCCCGGTGGTGGACCTGCAAGGCCGGCGGGAGTGCAAGGAGGCCCCACAAAGCCCCTCCCTGGCCCCAGGCAGGCAGGGGTGGTGAAAGGCAGGGAGGAAGCAACTGACCCTCCCGCTTCTCCTGCCTCCTCCTGGCTGAATGAGGGCTGGAAGCGGGGCGGCTGGAAGCAGGGGGCGGGGCTTCGTCATGTGCCCCGCCCCCATACC